AGAGTGCACTAGGGCTTGAAGGGTCCTGTGGACCTGGGCCACGGCGGCGTCATTGTTGCGGGGGGATCCAGGGCCCGCGGCGGCGGCTGATGTGGCGGCGGCGCTTGCGGCATGGCGAGAAGCGCTCGCGGTAGCCTCGACGGGAGCGGCTCCTGTCGAAGGCGTGGCCGGGTGCGACCCGGTGGCGGCCATTTTCGGCCTTTCCTCTTCCTCATGCTCGTTGACCAAGCAATCGAGAGCGTCGGGTTCGGCATGATCTTCTTCGTGCTGGAAGTCGCGCGTGAGGTCGGTGTGAGCCTCAAAATTTCTGGTGGCAGCAGCGCGAGCAGCGCTTTGCACAGCGCCACGGCTACGAGTGACTCGCTGGTCAACAGGAGTATGCATAACACTAAATGGCATGGTGGCGATGATCAAGGGAGGGGAAAGGTACAACAACAAGCAAGGAAGCAAGCAAACAAACAAAAAAAGTATGACAATTTTGCACTGTCTCGAAACAAAGAGAACAAAGAGGGTTTTGATGATTTTGAAACGTTTTCACAATACAAGCAGAAGACACAGGGAGGAAGCAGGAGGGGAACGGAGCAGCTGGAGAGCGCAAGGCAGGGTAACGAAAGAGAGGTTGGAAGAGTACACAACCGAGGCCCATAACCTATTAAAGGTATATGTCCAGTACAGTGTAATGTGTGTGGACAAGGCGATTATCACAGAGGTATCCAACCAGTCGAAGTGTACACGAGAACATGGATTGAAGCAAGGCGAAGGAACAAGACAGAACAAGACAGAACGAGGGAAGTGGAACGACCGAGGTCAAGAAGGAAAATGGTACCGATCCAGGGAGATCGCTCCCATTTATAGCAGGTGGAAACACACACACAGTGGAGACAGAGAATGGACTATCACACTGAAGACAGGTGGAAGCGATATCAGCAATCTGTTGGGACCAACAGATGCCACAACAAGATGATACACCAAGATGGTACACCAAGATGGTACAGCAAGATGTTACACAACAAGGTGGGACAACATCAAGTACCAGAGGACACACAACGTGGTAAAGTATACCGTCTCAGATTGTGCCTCTAATAGAGGTGTCTTGCTGCTGCAGAGCGGGCACTTGTCCGTCGGCTTGACGTTGATGAGTTCATGGAGGCCAAAACCCATCATGGACACGACCGCAATGGCAAAGGTCGTGTCGCTCAAGCGACGCAACTTGTCTCGACCCCGCATGGTCAAGACAGTGCTGACGCCCCACTCGCGTGAGGCCAGATATGCCTGCTGCAGGTCCAGCGCGCACTTGGCCATCAGGTCGTCCAGTGCCGCCTTGGAGCGAAGGGCAATGTTCTCCGCTGGTCGCTGGGTCGCCGCGTCCTTGACCGTGGCCATCTGGAAGCCGGCTCGCTGCACGTGGGCCTCAAAGTCGTCAGCCCTCGATGTATCCTCCAAGAGTCGATCGTAGACCCGAGGGTAGCGAGTGGCCAGCTTGGCCATGTTGCAGACATAAGCCACCGGACCGCGCTCAACCAAGTCGTGCAGGCCAAAGCCCCCGGTGTTGGCCCGTGTGAAGAGGCGAGCCTCAAGGAGCTGTTCCAGCGTAACGTCATGACCTTCAGCTCCAGCCGGTGCAGACAGGTTTACCTTGGCAAAAAAGGCTTTGACAAAGGTGTCCTTGCAAGCACGGTTCAAGAGCTCGGACAAGCCCGACGTCAGACTTGGGGGCAGCGTGTAGAGGTGGTTGATGAGGCTAGGCACGTACTGCATGGCCGTGAGGAGGGCCTGAAGCGAGACACCGGTCGTCAGCATGTCATTGAGCTTGCCAGAGATGTGCTTTGCCTTGTCGTTCAGCTGCTTCTTCATCCACTCGCGACGGCCAATCGGCGTTCCCAAGACCGTCATGCCCGTGTTGGCCGTCTCGCGCACGGCATCTGGCAATACAGACTTGATAGCAGTGATGGAAGCCGAATGGTGGCAAGGCATGTAGAAGCGGCTCTTACTGGGCTGCAGATGAAGGCCAGCAGACTCTGCACTAGCCTTGACAATCTCGACGTCGGCCGCCACGTCCTCCGCGGGACCCATCAGTACAATGTCGTAATAATAAATTAGGTGTTTGAACCTCAGAGCTGAAAGCAAAGCTGTGCAACCCCGACAATGTCGTCGAGGTACTTGATGACCTTGCAGCGGTAGTCAGTGGTGGCGTCGAGGAGACCCAGGACCTCACAGGAGTACAGGGCAAAGAAGAAGGGCGATAGCTCGTTGCCCTGCACAATGCCTTGGCCAACATCAATGTCAATCACCTTGAAGAATTTGTCGACAATGCAGTGGGTAGTGGGTCGAGCATAGTGTCGTTCAAAGGCGCGCAAGAGGCCAGGAACCTTGTCGGCCACAATCTCGTGTAGCCGTGCTCGGTCGGTGTAGTTGAAGGCACTCTTGAAATCGAGGGAGAGCATGGTCCAGCCCGGGGTAGACTCACAGGCTTGAAGCTCACCAAAGGCCATGCCAACCGCTGCTGAAATGCCGTCCTTGACTCCGACGGCCAGCTCTGGACTGGCCTGTAGCAAGTGGGCAATATGGGGCTGCTGTTGCTCGAGCAGAGCGCGGTTGACAACCTTGTTGAAGATGGAATCCGTGCCCACGGGTCGAAACTTGCCATTGGCTTTCTCCAGGATAGTGTAGTTGATGGAGCAAAGGGCATGTCGAATCGACTCGGGCACGGTGTTGTTGGCAATGTGGTGAAAGATCTTGTTCAAGGCAACCTGAGGACCTCCAGTGGCGGTGGTGGGGCCCTGAGGCGCGTCTCCATCAGAAGGAGCAGTCAAATCGCTGGTAGGACCCTGGCGTGGGCCCAAGACTTGACTGAAGTGCTCCTTGATGCGGTAGATGGAGGCAAGAAGCTCACCAGACCAACCATAGGGGTCAGTGACGCCCTTGGTGGCCGCCAACGCCTTGGGGAGCTCACCCTTGGTGAAGGACACGGTTGGGGAGCTCGCAGCCGTGGCTGGTGCCAGTGTAGACGTGGAGGCGGGTGTTGAAGCAATGTACGGGGTCAGCCCGGGCGGTACCAGGAGGTCGCGCACGGCCTGAACCTCAGAATTACCAATCACGGCACGAGCCTTGTCGGCATCAAATGCTTTGGCAATCTGACCTCGGTTCAGACGGTTCGTGACGTGGTTTGCCCAGGCTTCGTCCGCCAGGTCCGGGTCGCGGACGAGCGACCTGAGGCTCTGGTCGACTGCGTCGTTCGGGTGGGCGCCCGCGCCGGCGTTCAGCTGTCCTCGACGGCTCTGCTTGCGTGCGACTGCCTTGCGCATGGCGTCCACGACCCGACCTAGTTGCCCCGTCACAAGCCAACGGAGACGATCGTGAAACATATTGCGCAGGTCAATCGTAGAGAGTGCGGTCGAGGGAGCAGACAACAACATGCTAGGCAAGGCCAAAATCAAAGTCCAGCACATCTCTCGCTCTTCAGCGGTATAGTCCGAGTGGACGGCAGACCAATACAGCTGGCTCAAGGTGGCAGCCATCAGCTTGGTCTCGGTGGCGTTGGATGGGTAGCGGCTGCGCTGCATCAGTGGATGCCGGGCGAGCTTGAGCAGCTCACAGACACTGACGCGAGACCCTACACACTGTTGGGGCCAAGCGCCACGCATTCGCTGGCTTTTATCATGCCGAGGAGTACAAGCACGACGAATCACGCACATAGAAACAAATATCGTACAAAACGACCAGGTATAACCAGAGATACGGCCGTTTTAACCACTAGACACCCGAAAGGGCAGTCACACATCACAAGTATAAGCCATCACAGCACAAACACAAAGAACACCACGGCACGCTCACATCCAACGAGACACAACGTCGGATTGAGGAAAACAACCGGCCACAGAAGACAAAGACATCATACAAAGGACTTTACAAAAATTCAGCAAAAATACCACACAAATACAGTCAAAATCAAAGCAAAATTAAAACAAAAATACAAGATCACAACGAGGAACCACCCTGGGAGCGACAGGTGCACACAGGGATCCCCACAGAGGGAACCCCGAGGCGGTGCCTACCTACGACGAGCGCAGGCAGACACCGCCAAAGTGGCATAATCTCAAGCAGGTCGTGTCCAGCCGCATGAAACAACGCCTCGGTCGCTCGCTTCAGATTGGCACCACATCGGGAGCGGTGTTGACTGATACCAGCAGCTTCGAAGAAGAGGTGACACTTGTTGCACTGGGCGACCAATTTGGCCTCCATCACCTGCTTGACCAGATCAGTGGCTTGCTCGTCGTAGGGGTGCTCGCGTAGTACATGATTGACCCAGGCTTTGCGGTCAAGGCGGGGCCCCTTGCATTTGCAAAGCCCAAATGGGCAGGCGAGGAGTTGCCTGTGGCCAGATGTCTTCAGCAGGACCTTGCGCTGGGCATCCAGCACGTTGGCAGCGATGGGCGGAGCAGGATCGCTGAGAAGAACATCTTGCTCACTCTCACTGTGTTCGCCCGCTGTATTGTGTGTTTCACTCTCACTGACTTCGCCAAGTGGGGCTGAGTTTGCATGCTCACTGTGTTCGACAGGATGTGAAATGGCAGCGGGCAAGCAGTGGCAGGGGGTGAAGCCGAGGGCGGAGAGGGATCGGAATGGGTTTGCTGTGTATCCGATGGATCTGGCAGCACCATTTGAGCGGGTGTAGGTGATTGCACCAATGGCTCAGGCGTGGCACTGCCGTTTGTGTCACCGTCACCATCATGCGCGGGAGGGGCGATAGGGGTGGGCGCGCGGAGTGCGGTGGAGCGAGGAGGGGAGTCGCTTTCGTCCGAAGACATGGTCAAAAAATCCGATGGTGTGTTAGGAATCGAATGATGTGTCTGTCTCGCGGACTCGGGCGAGGGTTGCTGCTCCCCGCTGCCATTTGGCTCAGAGGGCACCGATGCTGACAAATCCTCGGTCACAGGGGCCAAAGATGTGGCAGTGGCGGCGGCAGGCATTGCCGCAGCAACTTGAGCAAAGGAGCGAGGGCTGGATGGCGTGCGAGGGGTGCGAGGAGAAGCATTGGAAGTGTTTCCGATGATGGGATGTTGCTCCCCGCCGCCGTTTGACGTCCTGGTCACTGGCTCGGCCGCGGGCACGACGACACGTGCCGAAGACTCGGTCGCACCGGCAGCGGGGGACGTCGAGGGCACATGAGACGAGGCACGGGCGGTAAAGGCAGAGTGGCGGGCGCGAGGGCGAAGCGGGGTGGTCATAGGGTCAGGGAAAACATGGTTACGGTCGTGGCGAGCGCTGCCATGTTTCGTGTGTTTTGCAGAACGATGAGTTTGGGAAGGCGAGGTGGTGGTGTTGCTTGGAGGTGATTCGGCACTCGGGCGCTTAGCACCGCGGACCTGGGTCCAAGAATCCTCGCCGCCGGACTCAGTGGCCATGTCCGCGGGGCAAGCAAGCGAGCAAGCGAGCGGACACGGTGGGAGCGAGGGCGCCGCCAAAACGCGGGCCGCAAGGAGCGGGGTTGCAGATTTTGTCTGACAACGTGGTTCACGCCAAGATGTCAGGAAAAAAAAAAGGAGGGAAGTGGAACGACCGAGGTCAAGAAGGAAAATGGTACCGATCCAGGGAGATCGCTCCCATTTATAGCAGGTGGAAACACACACACAGTGGAGACAGAGAATGGACTATCACACTGAAGACAGGTGGAAGCGATATCAGCAATCTGTTGGGACCAACAGATGCCACAACAAGATGATACACCAAGATGGTACAGCAAGATGTTACACAACAAGGTGGGACAACATCAAGTACCAGAGGACACACAACGTGGTAAAGTATACCGTCTCAGATTGTGCCTCTAATACACCGTGCCCAAAGGTCTCGAGCAGTACTTCAATGGCTACACTCATGGCAAGCTCAACCGCGCTGTCTATGGTCTCAAGCAAGCTTCACGTGCTTGGTACCAGATGCTCGACCACCAGCTGTGCACGGAGATGAAGTTTACTCGCTGCCTCAAGGACCGATGTGTTTATTTTCTCAACAATGGCCGCGATGCCATTTGGATCGCCGTCTATGTCGATGACCTCCTGATGTTTGCCAGTAGCAGCCTCATCCTCGATCAGACCAAGGCTCTCCTTCAGCAAAAGTTTACCATGACCGACCTTGGTGAGATTGAGACTTATCTGGGCATGGAGTTTGCACGCAAGCGGTGATACCATGACCATCAAGCAGACAAAGTACATCGA